TGGTCGTCGTCGGATGGGCGGGGAACGATGTGCACGGGGACTTTGGGTACCAAGGGTGTACATGGATTCACCAAACAAATCTCGCGAGATCAGAAGCCGACCGGAAGGTCGCTGCCGAGTACGTCGACAAGCAGTACAAGAAGGTGCAGCGATCCCTGGAAGGACTTGTTGAGATTTCCAAGGACCCCCGTGTCATGTCTGTTCAAGTCATCGGGAACGGTGACCATTCCGGATACTCATTGCCGCCATCTTACAACCGTGAGATGGGCAAGCACATCAATTGGCTGGCAGAGCGTGGCATCCAATGCGTGAACTCCACTATGCTCGCTCAGGGTGGGAAATACGACAATTACCACCTTCATGACCACCAATTCAATCGGAAACTGGTCTACCGATTCTTGAGAGGAGCCATCACCTTCCACCTCAAATATGTTGAGCTCATGTCGAAGAAGGACGATCTCAGGTACTTCGTGAACGAGTTCATCAGCAACGAGCAAGATCGTGTGGCCGCGGTCCATCTCTTCCCAACGATGGTTCAGTTCCGTCTGGCTTTGCTCGGCACTCAGGAAGTCATGGAAGCCGTCTCCACCGAGAAGAAAACGGCAACCCCTGCCCAGGTTTTCGACGAGGCAGATGAGGAGATCCTCATGTGGGTCCATGCAGGAATTCTTGAGGCCAACGAGGAAGCCACCCGGGAGGGAAGGCCGATGCCCACTGCTTTCACTGATGAAGAGATCAGCTCCATCGTCCCAATTGACCCTTCGATCGAGGACTACGAAACTGAAGAAGTCAGGGCCCGACAACACCTTCAAGAAGATTTGAATCAGGCCGTGGCTGATGGTTTCTCAACTACAACCATCGAATCGATCGAGATCAACCCGGAGAACACTGATGTCGATGATGATGTTGAAGTTGTTCCCGAGTTTGATGAGTGGGACGTGATCCTTGATGAGAAGATCATTGTCAATCCCCATGACGAGAAGGTCAAGGAAGATGAAATCTCGGAGGAAAGAGCCAAGGAGGTTGAGGATCTCAACAAGATCATCGAGATCACATCCACTGAGGCAAAGCCTTCGGGAACGTCGGCCGATGTTACTGCTGCTGCAAAAGATGCACCCGCCAAGGCCGACCAAGAGGGGGAAGACATGACTTCATCGAGGGTTTCAACTTGGAGTGTGGTTGGTGGTGATGAATCCAAGCCCAGCGACATGACTTCTTCCAGGATCTCAACTTGGACCGAGGTTGGTGGATCTGAAGCCACTGCCATGGACGTTGACTCTGAGAAGAAGGAAGGTGCTGATGCTGCCCGGGAGGGTGTGCCGACTGATGCTGCAGTTCCTGAGGCTTCTGCTTCTTCCGAACAGCCTGCTGACAAGACTGCCATTGTCGACCTGACCAAGACCGAGAAGAAGGTGGAGGTTGACAAGCCAGTTGGAAAGCCGGCCGAAAAGAAAATGCCGAAGAGTGAAAAGCAAAAGGCACCAGAGTCAAAGGCGCAGCCCAGACAGAAAGCGCCGCGACTCAGTGTCGAAGCTGATGCAGCCCTTCGCAAGTTGGAAGAAGCGACGGAACGCCAAGAGGGATCAGTATGGTTGGACCCCAATGACATGATCAACAGGATTCCCAAGGAGTATTGCGGCCAAGGGCGACTGAGATTTCTTTCCACAAAGTTATCTTATGTTCTCCGAGGGCACGCATTGAGCTATGGTGCTCGCAGCCCAGACATCGATCCCATGGATCTTTCGATGGATTTCGAGGCGGTGATGAAGACGATGGCCCACTACGTCTCCTACCCGAAGATCAGTGAGGTCCTGTCCATCGTGCGCAACAGTGACACCAGGCGCTTTCAGGTGAAAGTGGCTCAGCCCGATTTGCCTGATGCAACCTGGAAGGGTTTGCCATGGAAGGTTGTCGCCATCAGAGCTGTCCAAGGACACAACCGTGCAGTGGTGGAAAATGCCAAAATTTCATCGCTGGTGAAGGAAGTGTTTACTTTGGATCCAACCTTTACCAAGGCCGACCTCGACACGCCCAAGTTGCCAAGGACAAATCTTCGTCCAGACCTTGTGCCGGAGATGCTGGCTGCACTTCCAAGGGTTATCTACCATAGCTGCGACAGGCTCGCTATGGACAAGATAGTTGAACATGGCCTCATCCCAGGTGGCTGGCCCCAAAGAACAGGAAGGGCGCATAATTTCTTTATTGCGTCACATCCATGGGATGATTCAGTCGGTGGCAGAAAGCTCGCGGGAACGCGAGCCGGGAAGCAATACTATATTGCCTTTGACACCGAGCTCATCGTCCAAAGCGGCTGCCGATTGTTTCGTACAGACGAAGCAATCATAAGCCCTGACTGGATCTCCAACGAGAACATCATATGCACCTATGATGCTGTCAACAGGGAGTTTGCCTGGGTGAATCGCCCCTACGAGATCACGCGTGTGGGGTACAACAACAAAATGAAGACCCACAAGGACCAGGACACTCCGAAGAGAGAGGCACTGTCAAAGAGCCCGTATGCCAACGCCAGGGACAGTTTGAAGGCCTACCTCATGAGCGGCAAGTCCATCCGACCCGGCCAGATGCAGGTGACCGATTCTCCGGAAGAGCTTCCCCCACTTCTTCGTCGACGTGAAGGAACTTCAGGGCCTTTTGAGGACAAAGTGACGTTGAAGATGGCCTCCTTTGGTGCCTTGTCCAATGCCGAAACCATTCGCAAAGGCAAGGGCCGAGGAAAAGGCAAAGGGAAAGGAAGCCGCCCGGGAGGGCAGGCCCAGCGCTCAACCAATGCTGAGGATTACATCTACAGCTCAAAGATTGAGATGCAGCAGGTCAGATGCCACTTCTGCGGCGAGTTGAACATTGAGGGCACCCACAAGTGTCAGTCGTGCTTCAAATGGCTGATTGCTTGGTCGGATGGAAGAATTGCGACAGAGGTATGCCGGATGGAAATCTCGGCCAAGAAGACCAACAAGGTGTTTTCTCTGGACAAAATCGATTTTGAGAAGCAGCCTCGAGCTCAGCGAGTCTCCGACCGCACCCGAGCAGATCAACGTCGAGCTGGACGAAGCAATTTCGGAAATCTCAAGGACGCTGCTCAAACACATGCGGGAAGATACACAAAGCTCGGCTTCAAATCGATCCAGGACCGCATGGAGAAGGACCCATTTTATTTGTTCAACAATGCGGTCGGCCAGATTACCCCCGACTGTTGCCAATTTTTGGAGGATTTGGCAAAATGCATTGCCCCTGATGTCGGCCGTACCCGAGAGAAGCGAGAAAAGCAGCTGGGAACAGGTGTCAGCACTCGTTTGATTTTCATGCCAGACTTCAACAGAGACATCCGACTCCCGTTGGACGTTACAAAGGAAGCCATGGTTGCACATCATGCACGAGTTTTTACACTCCCACAATTTGCTGTTCTTGCTGCGGACTTGCTGAAAGCGAGGGGGGAACCCACGCCGATGTTATTTGGTTGGTCTGGCTCTATGATGCCTGTGGATCAAGGGTCAGCCCAAGATTGTTTCTTCGACCTTGTCGATTTTGCGAAAAGGCAGTGGAAGGAGCAATACAACAACATCAAGGGTGAGGAACACTCCTTCGTGGATGAAGCCACTGCATCAGATGTGGCTGAGTTTCCATTGGCAAGATCCTCCAAGACGGGTACTGGCGAAGGGCGAGAAGGATACCGGCGTCACTTTGACCCGATTCAGAAGCCAGCCAAGGGCAAAGGCAAGGGTTATGGTCAGCAACAGCGTCCAATCTTTCAGCAGGCCATTGAGTGCTGGAAGTGCGGTCAGTATGGCCACAAATCCTTTGAGTGTCGCAGTGGATGGAGCCGACGGCAACAGTGGGATTCGTATGGATCTTACTCAAGCCGCTCGGGAGGGCAGGCCCAATGGCAAAGCTGGAATTGGAATCAGGGCTACTCTGGCAGAGGTTGGACGGCTGATCCTTGGGGAAGATCTACAGCATCAAGCTCCTCGGCAGCGCCCCCAGAGCCAGTGCAGCCACCTTCAACAGCAACGCCTGTGCCTGACACAGCTCCTGCTGCTGGCGACCCTGCCCAAGCAGCCTCTGGATCAGCTTCTGCAGCAGAGCCTCCACAGCAAGTGCCGAGGATGCCGCTCGTGATTGCTGAGGAGTACTGCGAGATCAACGGCCAGCCGCACTTCAAGCGCACCTACAATGATGGGACGGTAGAGTTTGAGTCGTGGTAGATGTTTCACATCTTGTGCCATGATTTTATGCCTACCGGAAGGTTTGGCCGATTGGATGAAAGCTGACCCATGGTCATTCAGTTCAATCGAATTGCACACATTTCCAAACTTGAAATTCCAACTTGATTAACTTGAAAACTTTTTCCAATTGATTCGAAAGAGTTTGACATCAGCATCCGATCCTTTGCGGTAGTTGCACGTGTACAGATGCCGTGTAGGTTAGCCTGATATAGTAGTTTCCGAACCAAAGGCAGTCGAAAGGAATGGTAATGTTCCTATGCCTTGGCGGAAGCCAGGCCAACTTCACTTTTGTGTCTCTTCAAGCACGTGCCCTGCCATGGATTGAAAAGTTAATGCACCCGACCTTTTCTCATTTTGCCTCATGCATTCGAGCTGAGACCACATAGCACAGATGGTAGGTAATCATGTACAGTGATGTCTTATTTCAACCCGTCCGCTCTCAGGTCACTTCTGGCGTTCGTGGTTGGCCTTCCGTCCTCCGCGGGAATCTGCGGGCGGCGGGGGGCGTTTTTCATGTATACTACTGTACATATACCTTAATTCATCCATATTGTACTGTGCTTATGGCTCGAGAAAACAAGCGTGATTGCTGTTGCGTTGTGGTTGCTTAATCTGTGAAACAATATATATATATATTATGAATATAATATATATATATGTTATATCAAAGACCATAAAAGAGCTACCAGCACAAACATCCAAAGAGATTCAGGAAAGAACTTGTAGCACAAATGCTGTGCTGCCAATGCCTGGGGAGAGGTTTATCCAGAATGCGTTCAAGGGCAATAAGTACCTGGCTGCTCATTGCCGCCGCACGGACCAGGGTGGGGTGGAATGCTGTGAAGGGATGTGATTCCATGTGATTCCAGTTGCCAAGACGACATCAGTATTTTGTTGTCGGCAACTGAAAACGCGCTTTACACAACCGGTCTCAAAGCCGAATGATTCGAGACATGTTGAGACACGTCGCTGATTTGCGTCCAGCTTTTGGTAGTGGCTCCAGGACTTCTTAAGAGCACGAGAAAAAACGACTCCAGATGTCAGCAACATTGCCATGATACTCGGCACATCTTGGCACTACGATAGGCAACACATCTCGATACATTTAAATACGTCAGGCTTGTCTTGTGGTGCATTCAGTGAACAGACACGAATTTCATTGGGTGGCAAGTCTTCAATTCAATGTCATTGGATGGCCAGTCACGCCAAATGGTCAAAATATGTCTAAATTCAATCTGAATTCCAATTGGTAACTGTTAAACAATTTTCATGTGTGTGTTTGTGTTCGACACTCACACAGCCATTCGATGCAACTCTCAGGAAACTAAATGAGGTGCTGGAACAGTTCTGACCTGAGCCAAGCTTCGCTTTCAGGCTGCAAAGGAAGAACGCTGGATGTACCACTAACATCCACTAACTAGATCTAACCAGATCTAACTGATCTAACTGATCGAACTAGTATAGTGAGATAGACGTCAGAAAGGACTGCCGATGCACTACATAGCAAGATGTCTAGATTGGTGAATTGTGCCTTGATAAGCATTGGTACATCTTGGTACTATGTTGTTCAAGGATGTTTTATCTGTGATCCACTCCAGTGGAGACCCTAGCAGTGCTTCCGTCTTATGCCATGTGAACATCAGCTAAGGGAGGGTATCCAACAGGCCTTGGCAATCAGCTGGGCGGTGAAAGATTTGTGAAATGAGAGAGAATTTGAAGGTTTGGTGGCGTAACATGGCGCAACCCAAGAAAAGAAGAGAAGTAAATTTCACTGAAGACAGGTAATCTGGTAATTTTGGAGGCTCTTTGAAGCTTGGATCACACGTAGTGCTAGCAAGGAGACAATCGTCATCAATCAATGGTCATCAAAGGTCTCAGACATGAAGAGAGCAGCATACGCCGTGCATACGGAGGTCTTTATCGCGACTGATGCGCAAGATGACTTGCGATCGGAGCTTCAGAAGCAGGTGCAACGTTACTGCTGGCGGGCAATCATCTCACTCATGAGAGAATTTTGACGTTCTTGAAAAAATGTGAAAACTTGCTTTTGATTTCTGAAGAATGATTATTTCATGTTACTTCTGGATTGAAGAATCGTGATCAATAAATACAAATGAATACAAATGATGCGTATACCGTACGAATCTTTGCACATGAACAGAAACAGCACTTACTGCAACTTTGATGTTCAAACGTAGTCCAGCATAGGAGCCTTTGCAGCCTCAGACTCGAAAATGTATCGGCCGCACCTGCAACACAATCACCTTGTCGTCATTCTAAAGGCCCTTGACGCTGAACTTTCGCAGGTGAAAGCTTCGGTGGTGTTCTATGCCCGGAGCTCATTGTTGTTGCGGCATTTTCTTGGTCTAGTCTAGACAGAGCAGCTCTTCCACTGCAGGATTCTGCCAATGGCGCCATCAAGTTTGACCACAAGGGCAAGCAGGCTCTTGAATTGACGTCCTATCTCTGCAAAGAAGTGTTATTCATTAATTAACAATCACCATTACAAACTTCAAGGGGCTGTCGGGCTTTGCTCCGTTTGCTTGAAATTGAGAAATCCGAAAGTGACCGAACCAGTTATGTTCCACCTTTAAATGGTGTTTCAGACAATTTCAGACAGGTGTATGAGGTAGTGAGCAGCCACACATACCCAAACCATGTCCTGTAACTCTGAAGATCTGAACACGCCGGAACACGCCGGAACGTGCCATCGCCCCCGCTGCCTCTCTGGCTCCAGCAAGCAGACGCCATCAAGATGCCGACGCTTGGAAACTTGGCTGATGGTTTTCTTCGATGCGTCCGGCTGTGATACATTGTGATACTGGGTTCTGTTCCTGGAGAACTTACTGAAGTCGATGACCGCGTCGCCAAAGAGTGGAGAGATTAGAGAAAGCAATCATGCTTAGAAATGGAGACTGAGAACAAACAGGCTGACAAAGCGAACGAATTTTTTTCTTCATCTCTTTCGATTTAGAAGCTGCAGCATTTTTGCAGAGTATTCATCAACTTCAAACTTCCATGAAAGGGTATAAAAGGGATCATGCAAAGGACCACCGTTCCACTCCAAAACTGAAAACTCAGGAGGGGCCGAATGCATGGTTTGGCTCCTTGCTCGCACAGAGACGAGACACTTTCGATTGCTGAAGGCAAGAGTATTTGAGTATCTCCTATCTGGAACCAATGTAAACGACATCATTAGACCGATCTAATGCTTGGCACGGGCACCCTTTTAAGGAGACGAGCACGACCATCGATTGATGTAGCATGATGTACGTACCCAAAACATCCCAAAACTGCTCCTTTTGTATCAATACTGACACTGATGTCATTTACAAGATAAGACTAAGAAGATGAAAAGTAATAAACTATATTGATATATAGATATATATAGTATATATATATATGTATTCTATAGAGACAAAATGTGAAACAGTCAAATGAGCAGCTCAAGTCTCCAATCGAGACGAGGCTTGAATCGCCCCTGGACTTCATGCTAGGGGAGGGGCAGTGCACCCAAATAATGTCATTTTTTAAGCTTATGAACATGATATTGCGGACGTCAGGTCTTTCTTATACACGAACTGGTGATTGAACTGGAACTTGTGATTTGCCTGGAAGATCCTGGAAGAAGGGTCCAATTTAGGTTATCCCAAGCCACTTCAATTTGGTCCATGAAGTGCCGAGGCGACGTTTTCATTGTTCCAAATCAGCGTGTCGCACTTAGCATTCGTGCAACCAAAATCTTACAAATCAGAGGACAGATTGGTGGAGGGTACTGAAAACTACTCCAGGTATATCAGTGTAAAACCACCCAGATGCACTTGGCATCACCCAGAAATTCCATCATGAATCATGAATCATGAATCATAATATAATATCATATATGATATAATCATATATAATCATAATTATAATCATATCATAATCAGATTCCATATATTCCTTGTTCGCCTTGTTAATCCTTGTGCTGCCAGTTGTGCTGTTTGAGATTTGCCCGGGCTTCAAGCTGAGGCCGATGGCGACAGGGCGGATTCAGCGTGCGGCAAAGTGCCGGCATAGCTGGCAGCTCTGAACCCATCCACCTCCCAACACACACCGCTCCCGCCGCCTGGAGCAGAACAACAACAGATCAGATCAAAACAGATCAAATATGCCATGATAAGCCAACAGATCGAAGTTGCAAAGCGTTGCAAAGCTCCAAATCATCACAGCATGCTGTAGCAGTATCACAACTTATCTTATTATCATATCAAGATGCGAATCCTCTGATTATACAACAAAGCGTATCAGGACTCATGTTTCAGATAAGGCGGCAAAGCACTCATGTAGGCCAACTTTATGATTCAGCATTGACCAGCAGACTTGTCAGACTGACAACAGCATATTGGCAGAACAAACTCAACCTCCCACTTCTTCACCTTCTTCAAGTTCAATCAGGACTGCTGGTGGCTGTTCTGTCAGCACAGGTCCAAATTTTGTATCTGCGTACTTTCCATGAACATATCTTGTTGACACCTTGCGCACAGTCAACAAATCATCCGTTTCAGTTTCCGTGCAAAGTTAGCCAACTGTACCTGTCCATTTGATTAGCAACCCCCAAAAAACGGGGAAGAGGAAATACAAGTGCTTTAGTGCATTTGTCCTGTACAGATTTTGGAGGGTGACATAGACATTGCATGACATTGCCTTGGAACTTGATTATTGCATGTCATGGCATCATGGCATCATTTTTCATTGGATGCTGTCGGCAGGACGAGAGCTCCAGGTGTTCCGTGGTGCACTGTCTTGACCCGCAAACAAACAAAGTTTGTCCTAATGACTGGTAACATCTGGTAACAAAACATAGCAGGACTTTTCAAGTTCTAGATAGTTCTAGTGATAAGTGGCCAAACTGGGCAAATCACGTGAAAACGAAACACCTGGAGCAGCGGAGCGAAGCTTTCCTCGAACAATGACGAGCCTGTCGGTGGTAGACCGCAGCATAGAGGCGCGCCGTTTCTGATTTGACCTGACGCCCGCCTGCAATTATTTGCAAGCGCAAAATAATTCAAGACAATGCAAGGACATGTCAAGTGTAAACCATTTTAAACCATTGTTCCGAGAATCTTCCATGTGTACATCATATGTACATCATGTGTACATCATGTGTACATCATGAAGCGTTTGGACTTTTTCAGTTTGTCGTAATCTGGGTCGATTTTGACAGCTGGAGGCCACGATGGCAACGATGATCCCACCGCTGCCGACCCCTGCAACTTGGCAGGCCCTGGAGAGACGACAAAACAGAAACACCTGCGAGGATAGCAGTTATTGCCAGCTTGCACATAGATCACACATGATATCATATATTTTCATATATTTTCATAATATGATAACATAGCACAGGAACAATGTTTTAAGTGGAAAGCAAGACATGCCAGTTATCGCATGACTAGTCGTGACTAGTCGTGACTAGTCGTGACTAGTCGACCCTCATTTTTACGCTCTTCACTGAATGCACGAGGCGAAGCGATCTGCAAGAGTTGACGTGCCCTTCCCGGAACTACCATCTGATGCTGACACGGTGCGCCGCATGTGCCGCGTTGACACCATGATAGTGAATCACAGGTGATGAGCGCTCTGCATTATACTCAGTTGTTGGTACTAGTTTGTCTTTTTCCCTGCAGGAGTTGCCGTCATGGCGTACTGGACTCCACAGCGTCCCCACCTTAGGGATCACATTTTGCCATCAGGTCAGGTGGAGTTCTCATTGAAGCCTAAAAGAATCTAAAAAAATATCTAAAAGTAAAAGAGATCCAAACACTTAAACAGTCCATTGGGATCCCCATGAGATCCATGAGGTTCAGCTTTAGGCTGTGGGAGCACACCGTCTCTCTAGCTGACACTAGCATTATTTAATATGGTTTCCGGTCGGCACTTTAATGCAAATTACACATTGGACATGCACACGATTTCACAACATTTTACAACATTTCACCACTGACATGGCCAATCGACCTAGGACTGGAGGCTTCGGTTGGGGCCAACGGAGTTTCAGATTCACAAGGTCCGAGGACCCATTGACACGGGCTAAACTGGCTTGGAATACGCAAACACTCTGTGACAAGAATCTTTGGTTCATGAAAAACGAGTCAACAAAGACCAGAACCGCATAGAAACACATCGGAAGTGTCACTGCCGTGGCTGAATCAGCGCTCAATCAGGGCGCAGCACAGCACACTTCATCAGATCAAATGGGTCCAGGGAACTGCCCCAATTTCTTGGCAAGTCTTAAATCTTGTCCAGTTTTTTTTCGAACATTCCCCGTAAAAGCAAGACTCGTATCTATATACCATTGTATTAACAGTCATATTATGATATATTATGATATTTCTGCTAAAAACATCAAATGATTCCACATTGTACAACATCTCTCCAAAATTGGACCATTCTGCATCATTCTGCATCATTCTGCATCATTCTGCATATCTGACATATCTCCTTTTCCCCTTAGTTTTTTGTTTTTCTATTTTGTTTCCTCAACTTTCATGGGAGGTGCTGACGGGCCATGGGCCACGGGCCTCAGCCTTTCTCTGCAGCGTCGGGGAGCCCAAGCATCCACGATGAGCTAAGATGATCATTTTCAAAATCTCAACATGTTTCTGCACATGTTTCAACATGTTGAAACATTTGTACCAGTCTCTAGCTCTGCATTCGGTAGTCTTCTAAGGCCTTCACGACTGGGCAACAGCTGGCTGGACAGGCTCGAATATTCGCGAATGCGTATCGAACATGATCTTAATTAAATGCTGGCGCGCTTTTTTCCTTTAGCTTGTCCAGGATGGTCAGTCACGCGTAGTCACACAACAGGTGGACCTGTCCCAGTCAGCAAGTCTCAGTATCAGCCTGACCCTTTGCAGGCATTTAGTCCCAGCGAAGACTGCGATTCGAAAGGCAGCGCCACTTGAAGCGACGGGTTTCACAATAACTGCAACATAGAGAACAGGTCACGAAACAGTTTCAGATTTCTTCTGGGAGGTGATTCCAAGCCCTTGATTGAATCATATTGAATCACAGATTTTTAAGATGCCTTTGGTTCGCAATCCGTTTAACGGATTCTGGTAAGCTGGTATGCCAAAATGACTTTGAGGGAACTTACCATTCAAACATATTCAAACAAAATCACAAATAATTCGCCAATGAACTCCAAGCAGCGCTCCAGCGCACATTGGCCAGTCCTGAATCGAGTCAACGAGACCGATTTGTCACACATCCTGCCAGAACAGGCACGGATGGGTATCAAAGACATCAAAGCTGTTTTGTCAAACCAGTTACGTGACCTATGTGACCTATGTGACCTATGCGGCCTATGCGTCGCCTCAAGGTTTGGCCCTTTTTCAGCCAAGCCTTGGATTTCATCTACTCAGAGGCCCGTTCATCGCCCAAAAAGCTAGTCCAGCCAGTCTGTACCCTTGCTGCACCGGATTTCAAACGTTTCAAGCTCAAGCTATCTCTGATGATCTCCAGCCACTCTAGCCATTCCTTCAAGCCTTGGAAGCTGTTGAGCTGTTGGGGCTGTTGGGGTTCAGCTGCAGCTCAGCCAGGACCTTGTCCTCAACGAAGAAAATGCAGTGCCTCTGTTGCGTTGTGTGCTGATCTCAGCTGGACGATAGGGCGACATGCAGTGACTGGACAAACGCAAAAGATCCCTGAAGCCACGAGGATACATAAGCGTGAGTCGATGTGAGCCGCCTTAATGTCACCAACGATGTATACGCACTTGATGTAAAGGCAGTGCACGAATGCTACCATGTGAGTTCTCGTATGTTCCTGTCATCTTTCTTTGACGCTTCGAAGCAGTAGAACAGTCCAGTTTGCTTAAACAAACTGCCGTTCTGAACCGCAGAGAATGAAGGCAGATGCCTTGCAGATCAGATCGCTCTTCCTTCGTTGCGCCTTGTTTCGCATTCGTGGCATTGCAGGTTGTATGTTGTGTTGTGATGTGTTGTGCCTTGTGACAGCAGCTGCCAGCAACCACACCCTTGGTGCACTTCGCTTTCGCCTGTCATGGAGACAGATTTTCCAGAATCAGATCGGACATTAATTAAATGGATATCAATGGAACATCAATAAACATGATGGAATATATTGATATATATATATATTATATATAATTATATATATAGGACTATTATGGACCCGTATGAAACAGTATGAAACTATGACTTGCCTTTTAAGGATCCTTGGATCTTTCTCACTTTTCTGCATCCGTATGGTGACCGTATGGTGTCTCCATCCGGCGAGCGTGCCAAGGTGTGGAGAGCATCAACGATATCCTCACAGTTCCTACAGCCCCCAGGTGCAAAGTGAGCCTCTTGGGCTAGCGGAACCCGAAGCCCAAGAGCGAATTGGATGATTTGGAGGTGAGGATATGGACAATGAATTGATAATGAAAACATATGAAACATCTGATTTTCGAAATTGAAGGCTATTGCTCACTTGTGATTATATATATAATATATACATACACAATATTTTTTTTTTCGCGGCTTGACCGGTCAGGATTCTGTCTGACAGCGTTTCGCTGCTTGGTGGGCCTTTGGCAGACCAGTCTGCACCTGAGCTTCGCTGAATTGCTACGAGTTGCCAAAGTCTGACAAACTTTTTTGTTCTTTGTCAGACAAACTGCATTTTCCATCATTTTCCCAGATTTCCATTGAACATTGAGGATCATCAAGGCAGCATCCGATGTGATCGCTGAGCATTTTGATCAGTACGAGGTGGAGGACCTCAGGCCCGGAACAGGTTCAGGAAAGGCCGAGTGGTATTTTCACATCTTGAGACGGGAAAGACATGCAGTCCGCAGAGAAAAGATTAGAAAAGATGAGAAAAGCGGGGTTGTGGCTTTACAAACTCATTGCGTAAGTTCATGTAAGTTTTGAAGAAGTGCTTCTTGTTATTCTGAGGCGCTTACCGCCCAGCACACTTGCACAGATTCTACGCAGAGACGACATTTCCATTATGCATGAAAACGAGGCATGGCCTGCATCATGCTTGGATGTTCCATGATGTTCCTGAGCATGTTTGGATGTTATCCCTGAAATTGCCACTAAGGGGCTGGGAGACTGAACCAAAGTGCTGTATGGTTGCTATGTATTGCACAGAGATAACAAAC